AGGGGGTGGCCACCTACAGCCATAGCAGCTGGCTCGGGCTCGGGCCCGGCCGGGAGCCTCTGCCATAGCAGCGGCGGGTTGATGCGCCCGATCCTGGCTGGCGGGGGTGCGGACACAGACGTGTCACCGACTTGGATTCGTCTGTGTCCGCGCGTACACTGGGCACACGCATCACGAGCTCCGGGGGACTGGGCCTGTCACAGTGTCTGGTGGAGTGAACCCGAGAGAGCTTGTGCCAAGGCACATATCTGTACACACGCACCCTGCTGATCTGCTTCGTACCACACGCACTGGGCACAAGCCTAGGGGGATCTGATCAGCGGGGCGTCTCGTGCAAGTGAACAGCCCGGAAAGCTTCTGCGGAATCACAGATACGCATATTTGCATATATGACACGCGCGCACACACACACTCACTTCGGTTCGTCCCAAACCCTGCCTTTTCCCGGCCGTCAGACTGACACAACCACGGGCCCGCGGAGCAAGGCGAGTGTACCCAAGCGCAGCTTTCCCGACACCTTCCCCGGGGGCCGCAGCCGGCTCCTGAAGCCGAAGCCCCGGCCCCGCGCCTCCCGCCGGACCTCGCGGGTGTGCAACAGGCCACTGCTCCAAGGCAGGCGCCGAGGCCCGCGCGCTCTGGCTCCAGCAGGTGACGCGCGGGCCGGGCCGGCCTCCCGGCCACGCTGCGCATGTGCGTACGCCGCCGACGCAAAGCGCGTGGGGCGGGAAGGGCCGCTGTGTGCAGGCTTGGGCAGCGGCGGCGCCGAGCTGAGGTAACGGAGAGGGGCCGGGGCCTTGGCCTTCGCGCTTCTCCGGGCTCCCGGCGGGGCGGGGGTGCCAGGGCCGGGCCCTGCTGCCTCCCCATACACGCGCGCTGCCCGGGTGGGGCGGCTAATTTTAGGCGGTGTCCCCCGAGCGCGGCCGTGTAAGGAGCGCAGCGGGCCGGGCCCTGCCTGGCACCTGCAGGCACAGCCTGAGGCCTCCCAGTGGCCCAGGCGCGCCCGAATCGGAGTCGGGGTTCCCGCGGCCGCCCCTCCTCCTGGGCCAGCTAGGAGGCAAGACCAGGGGCCCGGCGGGTGGGGCGGGTCAGCGAGCCTGCGTGCGGCGGCGCCGCCTCTGCTGGGCCCCGGCTGGGAAGGGGTTTAAAGAACGAGCTTAATTCTGCTGTGAAGGACTTCAGATTGTGCTCGTAGGCAGGTATATTGCACGTAGGTGATGACAAACCCGTTGCTCCCCTTTTTTCTTTCAATAATAAGAGCTGTTTGAATGCTCTGTAAGCAGCTTGGGGGTTGCCTCACAGATGTTTATGTTCCTCCATAAATATCTGTGAAGGGTTGCAAATGACACATGTACAGTGTCACTGCCTCTTGGAGGTCTCAGATCCTGTTAGGAGTAGCACTATACAAATATAAAGTGTGGAGCTAAATGAGCTGTGTTGCCAAAGTATCACTGCAAGTTAGTGGCAGAGGCGGGAGCAGACATTGAGTATCCCAAGTCTGTTATGTTAGTCACTGGATCGCTCTACAGCAGGGGTGGGCAAAATGCGGCCCGCAGGACAGATTTGGCCTGCCAGGCCATTCTATCCGGCCCGCAGGGCCCCTAAAAAATTAAGAAAATTAGTATTAATTATTAATTACCACCTAAGTCATTATCAGTGATTTGGACAACGGGGTGAAAAGCAACCTGTTTAAATTTGCTGATGATACCAAAATTTGGGGTGAGGTGAGCATGCTAGTAGGGAGGGAAAGACTGCAGCAAGACCTGGATAGGTTACAGGGGTGGGCTAACAAAAACAGGATGCGCTTC